CCCGCCCCGCCGCCGCCGCCGCCCCCGCTCCCGCCGCCCGCGGCGGGGCCGCCGGGCACGTGCAGCGAGGGCGGGCCCGGCACGTGCAGGGCTGTGTTGCGCATAACGTCCATCGCCGCGTGGTTGCCGCGGTCCGACGGCGTCAGCGGCGCAAACGCGTCGGCCGGAACGGAGAACGATATGCCGTTGCTGCGTGGGTGCTGCCGGGTGGCGGCGGGGGTGGGAGCGTTGGTGCGGGTCAGGGCCGCGGGTGAGGGATCCAGGCTGCGATGTTGAGTGTTTTGGGGCGGGAAGGGGTTAGCAAGGGTAGATAAAAGGGGGGAGCGGGCACGAGAGGCACCCGGAACGTGGCGGGCGGGAAAGGGGGGCTCTGTTGGAGGGGAGGGCACACAAGGGCTGGGCGGTGCCCTGGCCCACCATTGCATCAGTAAATGCGGAATACTGACCTGCAGGTGGCCTACACAAACTGACCCTTTCACCGTGCAGCCTCCATCTGCCATGCGAGCACCGCCCATGCGCGACCCGCCAAGGGCTCGCAACACAGCGCCCGGCGTCCTTGCGGCGGCGAAGCCGCCCGCACACCCACCCTCGCGTCCCCATTCACATGCACCCCCGTCTCCAGCCCGGGCCCCCGCCGCGCCGCGCCGCCCCTGCCGCCGCCGCTGCCGCCGCCGCTGCCGTTGCCGCCGCCCGACGCGGACGCCGCGCCGTCGGCGCTGCGGCGCCAGCCTCGCCGCCACTGGTCTGGGACGCTGCTGGGGCCCACCGGGCCGTCTGCGCCATCTCCCGGGTCATGGTCTTCCTGATATAGAGGGTAATTTTGCGACAAAGGGTTGAGCAGCTCGCATCTCCATGGTGACTCATGCCTTGAGCCTTGGCGGGGCTGGGGTTTTGAAGTGTGTGCACATAGGAACATGGCCCAAATGAGTCCTGCATGGTGCAGCAGATGTGTGTCAATCTGCTCATGACCCGACTGACGCTTGTGTTGACTTAACACAACTAGTTTCTGCACCCTGGGGTTCTGGGCAGCTTCCAGATTGATTTGCCCGGCACACTCGACAAGGGAGAGGGAGGAATGTTTGAGACGGCTCCGGCAGACGTTTCGCGGCGCGCTGCCGGTGCAGCGCAAGAATGGCAGTGCATGCCAATGAAGCCTGGGCAGCCAGGGATGCTGCGCCTGGCCGCCTTAGATTGTTTGGGAATTGAGGAGCACTCACCCGTGCCAGCCACTCCACTCTCGGGGAACCCGGGCCACGCTGTTGCTGCTGATGCCGCAGCGCCTTCGGGCGTCGACAAATGGTGTTGCGGCGCAGCCGGGTGCATTCAGATGTGACCACGGTGAGGTCGCAAGGGGCGGAGAGGGGGAGGGGACGGTTGTTGGCACTTGAGGCGGCGTGAGGCTCGAGAGCATCGCTTTTGATGTGTTGGAAACAGATCATGGCGCTTTTTGCCTTGGCGATAGGGGATATGGGGGGTGGGCCAGGCTGACAGATGAGGGGGCGGCGCCCTCGCCCACCTGCTGCTGCCCCGCGCCGTTGGCGGGGTGCTGAGAGGACAGCTGGGCCGGCTGCAAATGTCGAGAGGGGTTGTTGAAGGGTTGAGGTCGAGCACGCCGGGGGCGCCCAGGTGTGGCAGCTCAGGGTGCTGGCGAGGCCGCCTGCCGCAGCAGGCGTAGGATGTGCGAGTCACCTTCATGTGTGCTGAACCCCTGCTGAGTGCAAAAGTCTCGACTCTCGCCTTACCTGCAGCCTGTGGCCGCCGGCGCGGCGCTCCGCGTTGGCTGCCCGCTGCTGCTGCTGCTGCTGCGACGGGGCGCCCGTCGCGTCCGGCCTGCGGCGGGCGGAGGGATGGCAAGGCGTAACACTGGTGGTCGGGCATCTGGCTTCCTGGCATGCGGCTTTGTGATCGCGCCCTGTGCGCCAAAAGCACACATTGCAGAGGTGGCCGGCCACTTGCAAGCCAGGCAGCTGCTTGACAAGGCGTTGCGCCTCCGGTCCAGATACACAGCGGGGATGCCTTCGTAATGATGATATGCCCATGCTGCCCACCTGCCCTGCAGCTGACCCACGTGCCCGTGCTCCCTTGTGCCAGCGGCTGCTGACGCTGCGGCACGTTCGCGTTCCAGGTAGTGACTAGCCAGTGCAAACGCTGCTCCAGCCGCAGCCGCGCCGCCAATCGCGATACCTGCTGTGACAAGCAACCAGTTGCTGCCACTGCCGCTGCCGCTGCCGCCGCTGCTCACAGCACGTGACTCGGCGCTGTGCGGCATGTGGGCACGCCACCACTCTCGCTTGGACGAAACACACAGAGTAGGCAGTGGGTTTGTTTGAAGACCAGGTTACTCACAGATACGAATGTGCTGGTGGAGGTGTGGTTGAGAAGGCGGGGATCGAGGTTCGTATCGAATTTGATGCCGCTCAGACCACCTGCATACTGTACCGGCACCAGTCACTCAATTCATTCTACTCTTCAGAATGTCGTCTTACGCAATTCTTTGGAGTACGTTATCAATCAACTTATTTGTTGCAAATGATCTCGCACCTCAGAGTGGCGCTTGTTAGTGACTTCTCAAGACTGCCCGCTCGCTGGCCGCTATCCTATGTCTACAAGAGGCATCGAATAGCGTTCAATTCAAGCGTAGCAGGCAGCGCCCGGATGGCGTCCGAGGTGGGTGCAGTGCGTGATGAGTTGAGCCACAACGTGCTGCTCCTTTGCACCAAAGCACTGCACCAGAGCACCACCCATCGATGGCCTCGGCGCATGCTGCGAGCGGGAAGATGGAAGCTTTACAATCGCCACACACCGCCGCACATCAATCCTCAGCTGCCCCCGCACTCCCCAGGCCGAGGCTGGTGCCAGTGACGCAGGGGATAGGAAAGCCGACCGCAAGGCCAACAAGAAAGCCGTTAAGGAGCAGCGGCGCCTGCAGCGCGCAGGCCTTGCAGACCCCTCCCTCGGCAGGAAGCCGTGTACAATCTGCCATCGTCCCTCAGACCTGCTGGTACGGTGCCAAGTCGACGCAAGCAGCAGGTGGCACATGGCCTGCGGCAAGTGCTGGGCTCAGGCTAGTGGCGGGAAGGTCGACGGCACGCCCTCCACACCCCACTACCGGTGAGATTGCTGCCTCGGACTCTGCGCACGCCGACGGCCCTTTGAGGGTTCACCCCAGGTTCGCCGCCCTTGCTGCCTGGCATGATGCACCCTCGCATAGCTGGGCTTGTCCCGACAAAAGCACAGGAACATCGCCCACGCACAGGCCAACTGGAAGGGACGGCTGCTCACAAACGCTCTGCCCACTTGCATTTGCTGACTATCACGACGCCTACCACCATTAGTTATGGCGGCCTCTGGAAGAACCATCACGCTGGCAAATCTGGAAAGCATAGAGTCCCCAAGAGCGCGTCATCGCCTGGACACGGCAGCAGGCCCCAGCAGCAGGACAAGCTGCAGGAACAGGAGCAGCTGCGTGAGCTGCAGGAGGGGGGAAATGAACAGGAAAGTGAGGGCCACGTAGAGCGGGACGAGGAGCAAGTTGGCGGTCTGGAAGAGATGCTGTTGGCAGCAGCCGCAGCGTGCCCAGATGCTGACAACTCCTCGACGACCCCAACTTGAGCTTAGCTCACCCTTTGTATGTGTCCTATGAGTTCACGTCTTTCTGTGTTCAACTTTGCAACCACAAGGTGCGACACGTGTTTTGGACAACACAGCCACGGGCCACATTCTTCGGCTGAATATTGTAGCGCAACACCCTAGACTCATGGAATGTATTGTGTGGCGGTGCATGTACAGAATTGTGGCCTATCAGTATGTCTGCTTCACATATGCCACGTGCCCGGCCTCAATGGCAGTACTTCTCAGCAAAACGTTACACCCCTTGGAGTTGTGTTGACAGTTGAATGATGCATCAAACAACTGCCAGTTGCGCCGGGTCAAAAAGCCTGGTCAATTGGAAAGGGGTAAACATTCTGCTGCTGCGCCCACTGCGCCTTCAACGAAAGAAACGCTGATGAGCAGCCGGTTGGGGCTCACATGGAGCCACTGCTGGGGCAGGTTGCAGCCCGCTGGCCCTGCCCTAGAGCCGTGGCATGTCCCTGCTGCAGCCTCCAGTCCTCATGTGTCCCGAGCTCAGTCGCCCTTCCGCCGGAAAGAGCAGCCTGTGGGGCAAGTGAACATCAATGGTGATAAAATAAAACCACCCCACATACACGGCCTCACCCACCGAACAGCATGCATGCTGCTGCAGTCGTCACTCAAACCAAGCAAAGGCAGGCGCCGCACCAAGCGGCCCACACCCCTCACCAAGGCGACCCTACGTGCAGCAGGGGCTTGTAGCCTCCCCAATCCATCACTGAGACTGTTCACTACCCGCGCTGACAGGTGCACTTTGCCCTACCACCCGCACTGCAGCTGCAGCGGTGCTGGATTGAACACCAGCGCAACTGTGTGCTGCCCTGCTGACTGGCGGTCCTAATCAGCCTCACCATCCAACCACTCCACTCACCCTCGGTCAGGCGAGCGCGACCACCGGTAGGCGTGCACAGGACCGTGGAGCAGCTGCCGCAAAGAACAACCGTCTGAGAGTGCGAGAACACCGTGGTGCTGCGGAAGAGTGGAAGCGCAGCGACGGTGGCGGCGCTGTCAGTGGGTGCCGATCGGCGATGCTCGCAGCGTGCGCGGCCTGCAAGCGGTCCATTCAACTCACATGTTGAAGCACCCCTGGCACTTGACGTCCTGCAGGGAGGGTACCGAGGCGACAGCACCGTTCGTGAGCAGCAGGCGCGGAGCAAAGGCAGCCAGCCACGGGCCGAAGGGTGCTAGCAAAACACAGAGGACAATCGATGCGACCTGATAAGCATTCTCACCATAAAGAAGGAGTTGGGAGACTGCACCAAGCGCTTGAGCTTGTGCTTCTGCTTCTCCAGCTCCGCTGGCGGGTTGAGCAGATCGATATCGCTGTGGAGCACCTGAAAAACAAGTTACGAGGGTGTCAGCGCCTGCTGCGGCCCCGACCTGCAGCCTAGTCCTTCACAGCGCCGCCCGGGCCGAGGAGTCCCTCCTGGCTCACCATCTTGGCGTCGGCAGTGGGCACTGCGACTCCTTGAATGGTTGAAAGAGGGAGAGTTGCGTGCGCGCTGGAGTTTTGTCGCGGGGCATGGGGATCCAAGGGGGCGGTGTGCAAAAGTTATTTCGGACCAGCTCCCGCGTCTGGGCCCCTTTTAAGGTTGTGTCGAGCTTTCTAGAGATTTTGGCGATACATCATTCTTTTTTGGAGCCCTCGGAAGCTGTGTGATTGCAACCATGCGATCCCCGCTTCCGCCGCTGCCCAGCAGTGAGGCCTGGAAAGTGCCGTTTGAGATGCGTCGCTTGTCCCTTTCTGCAGGCAGCTCTGCACCACTGACACCTTTGGAATTCAGAGTCCCCAACAGAGATGCATTTGCGACGACGCAAACCTCCCTTACCACCCATGCTGCTGTGGCGACTAAGCGAACAGCAGTACACAAGTACAGTGACTGTGGCCGCGTCTGCTTCGGCCCATGTGCACATCAACGCCTTAAGCCCAATCCATCTCAGTCACAAGCTAAAGCAGCAAGCAAGCTGCTCATCCAGGCTGCAATGGTGGGGAACAAAGGGAGACAGGCGCAATGCCGTGGAGTTCATGGCTCTGTCCTTTTGCGCACCACCCCAGCGGGGTGCAAAGCGAGTTCAGATGTGCTGGTGCCGGTGGTCTCCATGTCTCTTGCTTAACCCTCTTGGGTTTAATCACACTTCATGTGCGCCGTCTGCAGCTGCGACTGTTGCCCGCTCGTGGCGGCGCAAGTCGCAGCCATCCATGCAACAGGCCGCAGCAGTGTGCATTCAGCTGTGATGAGTACGGTCGGTACTTGGAAGCCACGCCATGAGCACGAATGATGGCAATTTCTGGAATGATGCCGGAGATACATGAATGTCAATCGCCCCTGCATTCATGTGTAAAATCAGCCGGCAACGTGCCGTGCTCCCCGGGAACTGGCATTGAATGCCGCGCTGTGGCTGTCACTCAAGGTGCCAGTAGTGCGAAGCCCTGCATCACGAACTGACAAATCACAGATGGAAAGTCAGGGAAGTGTTATACTGGAGGTGCTACTCAGGAACCCCCTAGCCGGTTTGCTGCTGCTTGGGAAGCTGCCAAGCGCCGCAGTGCGACTGGCCGCCTTGCACCTCACACAAGCACCAGCAGGTTGACGCTCATGCACCACAAAGTGCTGCTCCTAATCGTGAGGCAGCCGACTGAACCCTGATCTATCGTGGAACATAGGCCTCCTATAACCCGCCCAGTTGCGAGCTTCTTTGCATGAGGGTTAGTGCTTCAAGGCAGCTCGCTGGCGCACTGCCTGCCAGCGGTTGGAACAGAGCGGTTGCTGTGGCGCAAACGTTGCACAGGCAGTGTTGCCACGGCGCATCCTCTCAGCAGTGCGTGTGTCATTCGGACAGCATTCATGCATGTTCTCGTCTCTGCCATCCTAAGTTTGATAAGACCAACCAGTTTTGGAGGGCCCATGCAGTTGCATGCCACCAGGCCGACGGGTGAGTGCGCGTGTCAGCTCGTGTGTCAGCACCCACTTCCCCGATGCCGCAATGACGCTGACGTGTTCGGGTGAAAGTCGTGTCACCTATCAAGTCGCGTCTTTGAATGCCTGGTTCACCCAAGTGTTGCACGGTTGAACCAACTCGAGCACAGCCAGATCGGACAGTTCTGTATGCCTCTTCTCTACGTTTGGAGGATGACTGTACCATAGAATTATCTTGATAATTATATCTATTGGAGCGGGTGGGCGCCGCGGGTCAACCTCCCCAGGCTGAGTGCCGCTGTCTTCAGCGAACTGGCCTGGGTCCTGCAAGGCCATGGGGCTGGGGCGGCGATGTTTAATTGCCGCCTCAATGGTGTTGGCTGCCTGCCAGATCGTGCTGCTCGCACGACCTGCGGCGGCGCTCGAGTCCGGCGTGCAGCCGCTGCTGCGAGAACTGACATCCTGCATCAATGACGGCGTTGATGACCAACATACCACTTACAAGGACTTTGCATACAAGAAACCTGTCAGGTGTGTGCATGCCAGGCGGCGGCCTGTGCTTGGGCTGGGCTGTCTGCACATCTCCGCGGCCTAACCGTGGACTGTTTGCAGGCAGGGACCCCAATTGAAACCGTCCACTTGCACCATGCTGGCTGCCGCGCCACCCCAGGCTGAAGATACACAAGGGCTGGTGGTCGGCCCACCGGGCGGCTGCACCCGTGACGGTCGTTTCGGGCCTCAACCCTGCGCGGCTCAACCAACTGGAGTCGCAGTGCCGCCGCTGGCGTGGCCCGATCAGCGCGTCGGTGTATGTGGCACTGCGGGTGGACAAGAAGGGGGAGGCGGCGCCCGAAAAGGAGCAGGAGAAGCTGCGGGATGCAGCAGAGAAGGTGGAGAAGCTGCACGCAAAGTGAGGTTGAGGGGGGTTTGTGACCATGCGTGCAATGGTGTCTGAGAGTGTGGGTGGGCGAGTGAGTGGGTGGGTGGGTGGGTGGGTGTAGTGTACAGTCGTGGGAGCTTGCACGCCAGCCCACAAGTGTACGCTGCGGTGGGACAGTAGGCGCGGTGGGGCCACTGCACAGAGCGCAGCAGCCGGGCCGCAAACGAGCGCACCAACCGTCACCGTCTGCCCCTGCCTCCGCCCCCTGCGCACATGGCTCGCCTCGTCACCTCGCCCCACGTGTCACCGTGTGCGTGACTATCGAAGGATGGAGGGGATGGCTAAGGTATGCCAGCTGGACATACTGCTGGTGTACGAGGTTGTGCTGGATGAGGTCATGCAGTTCATGTTCCCCATCAATACGCTCAGGAACATGGCGCTGCTGCAGGTGGGCCCTGGGGCGGAGGGCATGTCAGGGGCGGGGGTGACAGTTGACGGGCAGCCGCACGGGCCAGCGGCGGGCAACGGCTCGGTGTCGCTGCGTGCATGGGGCTGGCCTAGGTTGGGCCGGCCCTGCGGCGTAGGAGCAATTGCCCTTGATGTTGCCGAACACACATACACATACAGAGCGTTCGTCACTCAGACCTCAACGCCAGCACCCACGTGCATGTGTGTGCACACGTGCTTGCACGCACGCACGCACACACACACACACACACACACACACACACACACAACTTGCGCGCCCCCCAGTCGCGCACCGAGCTGGTGTCCATGGTGGACGTCGATCTGCTGGTCAGTAACAGCCTGTTTGAGTGGGTGCAAGACAAGAACAAGTGAGATCTTGCGTCACGGCAGAGGGTGGGGGTAGGGAAGCGCCACGTACTTGCGGCTAGGGTGTCCGAGGGCACATAAGGCAGTTGAGGCATTTGGAAGAAAGGGATGGGATGGGAGGGGTTTGCAAGTGGCAAGCACTGGAGCTAGGTGGGCGAAGGACGGAGGGAGGCGGCGCGCTGAGAGAGGTCAACGGCTCTCCTCCTGGTCGCCCGCCGCGGCCGCCCCGCCTGCACCCCTCTCGCCCCACCTGTCCCGCAGGCTCTCTTAACCCACGCCTGCTCACGCCCCGCCCTGCTGCTGACCGCCCCAACCCCTCCCAGCTACGAGCTGCTGCGCCAGGGCACCCAGAGCAAGCAGGTGTTCGTGCTGCCCGCCTTTGAGACCGCCCCCCAGCGGAACCAGACCAAGGCGCACCACCTGGCGGACGCCGCGTCGGGCATGCCCAAGGCTGAGCTGGTCGGGCTCGTGCAGAAGCGGCTGGTGTACCAGTTTGCGGTGTTCCTGTTCTGGCAGGTGGGCGGCGTACGCTGGGTGGAGCGGAGCCGCAGAGAGCGGCGCGTTTGTGTGTGGATCGAGTGGGGAGGAACGGGCCCGGCGCCTGTGTGCTGACAATGAGGCCTGGTGCTCAGGTTTTGGGGCATGTGGGCGGTTTGGAAGCGTGATGTCATCCCCGCTGCACCGCTCTAAACCCAAGGCGAGGCATCACTGTCAGGAGGCTTGGGCTGGGGATGCTGTCTCACTGGTCGGCCAATATGGCTGGACTTTGCCGCAGCACAGTATGCCGGCCTTCTAGAGTGCACACACACATGCGCCCTTCTTTTCGCAACCACCCACACACACAAACTCACACACTACATACACTCACACACATGCACGCGCGTGCACGTGCAACCGCACACAATCTCAGCCAATCCCAACCACATGTCGGCGCCCCCCTCTCGACCTCACCAGGGGCACAACTCTACGGACTACAAGAGGTGGTACACCAGCGACACGCCTTACCCGATAGAGTGGCACGACGGCTACGAGCCCTGGTTCATCATCGACCGGCGCCTCAACCCCTTCTACGACCAGTCTTTCCGGGGGTACGGCTGGAACAAGGTCACGCATGTCGCCAACATCCTTGCGCAGAAGTGAGGGCGTGCGCATCGTCCGGGAGGGGGGGCAGCGGGGGGGAGGGAAAGGTGTACTCTGGTGCCTTTCTGTTGGCGCTTTGCGGGCCTGGCCTTGGCGGAGCGGAGGGGGCGCTGGCGCAGGTGTGTGCGGGGTTGCGGCGTGTGCGAAAACGAGGCACCTGGCAGGCATTCCATCACCGAGGATTGCATGGGCTCGTCCATCCGCTATGATCGCCACTTTGGCATGGAGGCTGTGTCCTTGGATTCAGTCGATTGTTTTGCCCTGGCTCCAGCCATCCCAGTCTTCCCTTTGACCTTCGCTGGCCCGCTCGACCCTGCCCCCTGCACGCAACCCTCAACCCAGGTACACATTCATGGCCCACCCGGCCGGCTTTTTGGTCCACCGCCAACACGGGCGCAGGTGGGGCGCCCAGCTGTCGCCACACACACGCCTGCACGATGGCTGCAAGGCCCTGCATGTGTATAGGACGCGACAGAGCCGCGAGGCTCCCGCTGGGATGCGGCACAACTCTCTGCAGAACAGGGCGTCTGGTGACGGCTGATGGCTGTGTCGTGTTGCAAGCAGGTTGCATAGCAAACCGACCTCCAACCCGCTTCACATGGGCAGAACCCTTTCCACTGTCTGTTGCTGCACTCCTTCGCTGCGTCATCCATCAACCCTCTCATGCTTATACAGCATGCCCTGTGCACCTGCACCCTGCATTATGCAAACAGCTGCCTTGCATTGCAACCTTGCGCATCCTTGACCCCCTCCGCCGCCCGGCTGGGCCCCCACCTGCGAACCCTCCCTCCCATGCCGCATTCAATGCACCCGTCGCGGACCCACCCACACTCCTCACACCCCCAGCGAGGCCGACAAGATGTACCAAGCCCAGAAAAAGACGTATGAGGCAGATGTGAAGGCGCACCGAGTAACCAAGGATAGGCCCAACAACAATCTCGCGGGTCTCACGCACAGGTTCAGGTGCGGGCAGCCGCACGGAAGGGAGGCAGCTCCGCTCGCCCCGAAAGCAGGCGAAGGTCGGCGTGTGTGCACGGCCGCCGCGCGGGTGATGTGTGCTTGCTTGGTCGTGCACAGGCCAGCGGTTGGCCAGCAGCTCCAGCGGCCACCGCCTCCCTGCCTTCTTGCTTTTAGGTCTGGCGTATGAGAGCCTTCGTGAGCCGTTCGCTGCATGGACTTGGCGCCCTGGCCTTTGCGCAAGCAGTCACATGCAACTAGAAGTCGAGTATGTCTGACACACGCAAACACAACACACACACACACACACACACACACACACACACACACACACACACACACACACACACACGCTCTCTCTCTCTCTCTTTCTCTCTCGCACACACATACACTCACCCACACGGACACCCACAAACTTCCTCTCTCTGCCCGCAACACACACCGCAGGGATGACGTGTACAACGCAATTGGGAAGGGCGGTTATCAACCGCTAGTTGACGACGGCATCAAGCGGTGCCTAAGACAACTCCCCTGGTGGAACGACCACCACCAGCAGCAGCAGCAGCAGCCGGATAAGCAGCAGCAGGACGGTCGTCGGCACAAGCGCAGGCTCAAAAACGCGGGAGGCGGCGACAAGCACTGCGGGAGCGACAGCTGGGGCCGCCGGCCGCGGCTGCGGGCGCTCGCAGCCGCAATCGCCGGTTTATTCCCGCGGTTGCGGGCGTAGAAAGGTCACTAGAGGGTCAGTAGGAAGCCCTTTTACAGGCACATCAGGTTGATTTTATTAGCTCAGCATCTCCAATTTCGCCAGCAAGCTCAAGTCGACCTTGCTCGCCCTCGTCGCAACCCCCGCTGGCAAATCTGCCCGGCCTGCACACCGCCATTCATATGCTGCATGCTGCTCACCCGCTCCCCAGTTACCACAACGCAAGAAAACGGGCCATGCAAGCACTGGCAGGCCTGAAGCCCGCCAACTCATCGATGTACAGCATTCTTAGCCGTTGTGTCACAGGCTTACTCTGGAGCTCGGACCACGCTAACATCATGTGCTTAAACATGTTCATTAGTTTATTAATGGCATTGCCATGCTCCACCAGCACCCGCGTTGCCGCCATGTAAGCGCGGCGGGCCAAACGCGCAGGGGCATGCACGTCATTTGGAGTGCGATGGGGGGTGAAATGCGGTATATGCCCCTCCTACGTTGCATGCCCCTCCTACGAGACGTTCGTTCGCGCTCACTGCTTGATTCAAAGGGGCAATAGTTTGGGGCAGGTTTCATCAATACTATAAGCAGCGACGTCGGCCCGCGGACCAACCAGATTCTGCCTGGTGCAGGGTGCCTGGCCGTGGGTAGTTCGGACGCATGGCACGTCGTATACATCATAGATCAGGCTGACGCCCGCCAGCGAGCACTGCTGGAGGGCTCGGGTCCTGACTGTCCAGCCTGCAGCGTGTTTGGGCCGGTCCTACACTGAGTCTGCCGGCTCAACATACAGAGATGGAAACCTTGAAGGTAAGCCGATGGCGACAGGCCTTTGAGGGGCGGGACCGCGCGAGCAGGTGGACAGCGGCATCCTTCCCTCCTGCACGAGTTACCTGGCCCGGGGGCCGCTCTGCACGAGAACAACGTCCTGAGCCTAATGGATCACGCACTGCGTCTTATCAACTCACAAGGGTGTTCCATTGGGGTCTCGGTGCCGTGCCGGTGTTCACGCCGCAACGCCGCCAAACCCCGCCGGCTCGGTCTCAGGCCTTCGTCTTTGAGCACAGCGCGCTGCAGCGCGGCACCGCCCGCTTCTTTAACCAGGAGCTGTTCAGCGATGTAGTGCTGGTCGCGCCCGGCGGACGCCGCATGAAATGCCACCGCGTGCTTCTCGCGGTGAGAACGCGCCCCACCCCATAATCCCGCGCACCCTATTGCCTCCCGCGCGCCCCATCGCCTCGCGCCCACCACGCGCGCCGCACGCCGCAGCGGGGCTAGCTCCTTCCGTTATTACCTGGCATCCCCCACAAGGCCCCGCGGTCCCCGCCCCCAATCCATGCCCCCAGGCCTGCAGCCAACCACTCGCGGCCGCGCTCTCCGCCGTCGCCGCCGCCGCCGGCGACGAGCTCCCAATCACCGGCGTCGACCCTGACGCGCTCGAGTCCGTGATCCGCTACTTGTACGACGGCCGGCTCATGCTGACGCCAGCCAACGCGGCGCCCGTCCTCGACGCCGCCGCGCGGCTGCGCGTCGGGGCGCTCGCCGACGCCGCGCGCGGCTACCTGCGGCGCGCGCTGGGGCCCGGCACCGCGGCGGCGCTGCTGGGGGAGGCGCTGCGGTACGAGCTGGACGACCTGGCGGATGAGTGCGTGGCGGCCATACTGCGCGAGTGAGTGACGCTCGGGTGACGCGGGGGGCACGGGCGACGTCGGCGCGGTGACCAGGGGGCAGCGGGGATGGGCAGCCCCGCGGGTCGGGCGCAGCAGCAGGCGGATCGCCACCAGTAGCCGATCTGTCTCCTCCCTGCGCCCCTTCCCTGCCCCACCCGGCGCCGTTTCCAGCTTTGATGAGGTGGCCGCGGGCCCCGCCTTCCTCTTCGCCCCCGCCCCCGTCGCCGCGCGCGTGCTCCGCGCGGCGCGCGCCGCGGGGCCGCGCGGCGGGCGGCGCCTGCTCGCCGCCGCGTGGCGCTGGGTCACCGCCGACGTGGCGCACGTGGCGCACCTGGAGGAGCTGCTTCCTTTAGTGGCGGGGCCAGATTTGAGCCTGGATGACCTCGTAGAAGTGACCGGCCTGGCAGCAAAGGGCCGGGGCCCCGGCGCCGGCAGCGGCGCCACCGGCGTGGGCGGCGCAGAAGGGGCGGCTGCGCGGCAGCTGGAAAAGTTTGCTGGGGGG